GGTTAAAGGACCAGCGTGCACCTGTCACATCGAGGAGGCGGCCCGAGGAGATTTCTGTGTTTGTTATCATTAAATCAACCACAAGAGAACAGAAACAGACAATACACTTTGATTTTAAATTTAGTCTCTAGTTTGCTTTTTCATGTCAAATACACATTTTTTATTTTTGTATCAATTTGTCCTCTGCACTGCAGAGTCAGTTATCCCATTAAGAGAAGTGACCTAGGGGCTTTCCTTTACTGCAGCCACACTTTTAAATCTCATGTAAAATTGTTGAGTCATTTCCAGTTAAATCCAAAACACCACACAGCCTGCGATCAATATCAGTATCAATAAACAAAACAACTTTTAATCTGTTAAAATGTGATAACACGAGCGGTCCAAATGGTTGAAAACGTTTTTGAAATTACAGTGACTTTTCTATAAAATCCGGTTAAATTCAGATATATCTTAGTGTCTTTGTCCATAAACATTATTTAGATTAATTCATTAATATTAATTATTTTGAGTGGAGTTCTGTGTATTTGTTCATAAACATTCAGATTAAATTGAAGGTTTTTTGAATGGAGTTCTGTGTATTTGTTCAAAAACATTCAGATTAAATTAAAGGTTTTTTTGAATGGAGTTCTGTGTATTTGTTCATAAACATTCAGATTAAATTAAAGTTTTTTTGAATGGAGTTTGGTGTATTTGTTAATAAACATTCAGATTAAATTAAAGGTTTTTTGAGTGGAGTTTGGTGTATTTGTTAATAAACATTCAGATTAAATTAAAGGTTTTTTGAGTGGAGTTCGGTGTATTTGTTATAAACATTCAGATTAAATTAAAGGTTTTTTGAATGGAGTTCTGTTTTTTTTTTAAAAAAAAATTAAAATAAAAAAAAAGGTTTTTAATAGGGGTTTTTTTTTTTTTAAAAAAAAAAAAAAAAAAAAATTTTTTTATTGGGTTTAAAAAAAATTTTTATAAACATTCAGATTAAATTAAAGGTTTTTTGAATGGAGTTCTGTGTATTTGTTCATAAACATTCAGATTAAATTAAAGGTTTTTTGAGAGGAGTTCGGTGTGAAGTCCTCCCCATCATGACGGAGCGGAACTAATGTTCGTGCTGTGTTTCCTACCGGGAGAGGATCGCGGTTGCACGCGGGAACCCTGTGCGAGATGGCGGTCGACACACAGACCGTTTAGGACCGTTTCAGATCCGCCGTGTTGGTGAACTTTCTGCCTTATCGTAGTCCTGATTCTGACCCGAGCTATGGAGGGGGGCAAACCGAACCTAGCCCTGGTCTACCAGGCGGTCCAGGCCCTGTACCACGACCCGGACCCGGCCGGGAAGGAGCGAGCCTCGGTGTGGCTCGGAGAGCTCCAGAGATCGGTAAGAAAATGGGGAGAGGCCGGAGGACCGGAGAGGGGGGACCGGCGGCGTGGAGCACGGAGGAGTCGGTGGCGGGGTTTAATGTGGGCCGCCTCGGAACCGGGTTCTGATAAAGGACGAGTGGACCGAACTGCGCAGTCTCAGAGGAGCTGCAGGTAGCCGTTAGCAACATCGCTAAGCTAAGCTAAGCTAAATGAATGGATGCAAAGAGCGAGCGTTAGCTGCGTGTTAGCCCGGGCGGGCTGTCAGAACCGACCGGAACCCGCGGTCCGAACCCGCACTGTAATGTAAATAAAAACAAAATGGCAGACGGACGTTGTGTTTGGGTCTCGGAGGAGTTCGGAGGAGTTCGGAGGCCCGCTCGGCTACTGCTGCTCACCAGCTAGCTCCGTTAGCGTGCTAGCGCGGCTAGGCTAACTGCCACAGTAAAGTTTACTGTCTGACTTCACGTCACTGATCGAACCGATACAGATATCGATCGCTGGCTCGTGTGTGGCTCCGGTGAGCGGGCGGCACCGGGCCGAGCTGCAGCCGCAGGTACCGGCTGTGTACCGGAACCGGTTGTTAATATAAATGCGGGTATTGGGTCTGTGGTGCTGAATGAGGAAGCGCTTTACAGCTGATGGGGGAGAACTTGCTGCTGACATTACTCTGGGTTCACTCCACTGTTTCAGGGCGTGGCACAAACTCACAGCAGGACCTGGTCTCATGAATCCAGCTGTTACCTGCTGTTAACTGGAGCTGGTTCCGTCTGTGTCCGGGTAACCGGGCTGGACCCAGCGCGGTGTGTTCAGGTGCTGCAGGAAGGGATCGATATTCACATTCAATCTGAGTGAAACTGTTTAATGACAGCTCAGTTAGTAAACAATAACAAACAAACAATAACACAAAGTATCCGGAATATTTTACAGTATTTTCTCACGCCCCTTTTATTTACATGTTTTGTTGTTGTTGTTGTTGTTGTCAGTCTGATTACAGCTGTGTATCTGCGAGAGTCTGACGATACGATACGGTTCAATATATTGTGATTCTGTAAACAAGACGATAAAATCTGAGTTTAATACAACCAGAACAGTGAGATCTTATTTATTTATTTTTATTACAGCGTTTGTTTACAGCACTGAGTGGTTGAGGGTTCGAACTCCAGAATCAATACAGTGTTAATCACAAAATAAATTATACACGAAGACGATACTTCCAGATATTTACTCACACTTTTATCCAACAGTGAACGTTGGACGTTATCCAGCATCACGAAATACAGGACAACCTGTGTGTGTGTGTGTGTGTGTGTGTGTGTGTGTGTGTGTGTGTGTGTGTGTGTACAGGTAGCCTCTGTCACCATGGTAACCACCGTCACCAGGGTTGGGAACAGAAATTTGGTTCCAAGCTGACAAGAATCGGGTGTAAAACCGTAAAAGGAAACTGAGTTTTACGTCTGCGTCTCGGTCCCTGAACGCAACGTGGCAGCGTACGGTTTCCTGTGATGTGATTGGCTGTCGGGGCGTAGTGACGAGATTTCACTGGAGCTGTCGCCGACTAAAGATCTTCCTAGTCGACTAGTTGATAATATTACTGTAATAATCGTAATCTTTATATTTGAACGCTAACAGAAACAGCCGTAATGATTCTGAACGATCAACACACAGAATCAATAACTTCCAACGGACTGATCGATACGATGGATGATCGATAACGTTATCAGTTAATTAATTAACTGGATACAAACTGGCTCCTCTTCCTCAGTTTCATTCCCCTCCTGTCGCTGCCTGAACCCGCCGGCTCTTCGTCCCCAGAGTCACAGTCCTGGTCGGAGCCGCCGGGAATCAGCCGGCCTCCGTCGGTCCGCCCCGGTTCTGTGGCTCGTTCGGGCCCCGGCAGTGTTCTCCGCTGCGTCCCTCGGCTCCCACGCTGGTGTTGATAGGACCACTAGCTGCATGGTTAATAACCTCATTAACATGCTCTGATGTCTGCAGACTGCAGAGCTGCACTAAAAACATCACAGACAGATATTGTGATTGTGGTTTGATTGATCAATAATGTGGGACTGATCAGTTTTCCATCACAAATTTAACTTTGGCAGAAAAAAAGGTTTATAATCACGATGATGTGACATTTTTGGGGCGTCTGCACCAACCGGGATTACCAGAACGACGGTACTTCACTGTAAAGCTGCAGCTTCTCTGATCAATAATGCAGCCCTGGTGTCTACGCAGCGGCTCCTGTTGGGTCGTACTGTTGCTTTAAATCTGGCTCTCAAACTCTAATTGGGTCAGGGGCCACTGCTGCTATTGTGATGTCATACGGGGCCACTTCAGCCTTCAGGTGCTCCCAGGAAGCACATTATTCTGAAAATATCTCCAGTACTAACGTCATGATTAACAAAATAAAATCCGAGTGCAGATAACGAGACCTGGTGAGAGGCTTCAGGTCTGAGCTAACGTTGTTTCCCAACCTGAGGGGCAGGACCCCTACATGGGTCATAAGATCAGTCTGAGAGGTCCAGGTGTTTTTTTTTTATATAAAACAATCTTTGATTCTTGTGAATTCATAATAAAACTTTATTTGTACACAAAGTGATTTACAGAGAGCAGAAATTATACAGAATAAAAACAAAAAACAATGACATCATCCAGCACGTGAGATAAAAACAAGCTTTAATATTAAATAATGTTTTAGGGCATCATGGATGTTTCCTGTCTAATTAAATTAAATCTTAGTTAAAGGAAATATTAGGCAGCATTTCACGTCTTCCCGCCCTCGATGCCACGACACAGTTTAAGATTGTTTACATGTAATATCGCAACGTCCTCAACAATGAACCAACTTTCCAAACTCTCGTAACAGAAGTGGGTTTACAATATGGCCGCTGAATCGTTGACTCCATCACTGACAGTCGCTGATTTAATTAATTAAACTGGTCGATTTGTAAAAAGTCTGAATTCCTACTTCATCAGGTCCGTCCACAAGACGACGGGCAAACAGCTTTTAAAATGCTTGTTTTCTGAATGGAGTTTGGTTGATGAGGGGTTACACTAACTGAAGTAAAACCAACAGCTGGAATTAAGTAACAGACACATATTTTCCAACTTCCTCTCTTACTGTTCCAGTGCGAGTCTGGCTCTTTACTCCTCCAGGGTCCTCCGGGCTGGACCTCAGCAGCTCCGCCCGGTTCACACATTGCTCCATTACCTGTACAGTCCCAGTCACCTGCTGAGATCTGAACCCATCTGACATGATTGAGCAGCTGCAGAGAAAAATAAAACCATGTAGAGTCTGCAGGGTTCCCCGGTGTCCTGGCTGAAATATCACTCGTGATTGGTTTGTTCATGATGACCTCACAGAGCAGAGGTCCGCTGAGAGCTGTTCAGGTGTACACAGGTGTAATAACATCACTTCCTGTCCCGTCCTACAGATGTATGCGTGGGAGATCTCCGACCAGCTGCTGCAGCTCAAACAGGATGTGGAGTCGTGTTATTTTGCTGCTCAGACGATGAAGATGAAGATCCAAACGTCGTTCTACGAGCTTCCACCTGAGACCCACAATGCACTGCGAGATTCACTGCTAACCCACATCCAGAACCTCAAAGACCTGTCACCCATCATCGTCACACAGGTAACACGTCCTGAGTGCCTGTTCCTCTGGAGGTAACAGGTTCCTCTGCAGGTAACACGTTCCTCTGCAGGTAACAGGTTCCTCTGGGAGGTAACAGGTTCCTCTGCAGGTAACAGGTTCCTCTGGGAGGTAACACGTTCCTCTGCAGGTAACAGGTTCCTCTGGAGGTAACGCGTTCCTCTGGGAGGTAACAGGTTCCTCTGGGAGGTAACAGGTTCCTCTGCAGGTAACAGGTTCCTCTGGGAGGTAACAGGTTCCTCTGGGAGGTAACAGGTTCCTCTGGGAGGTAACAGGTTCCTCTGGGAGGTAACAGGTTCCTCTGCAGGTAACACGTTCCTCTGCAGGTAACAGGTTCCTCTGGGAGGTAACAGGTTCCTCTGGGAGGTAACAGGTTCCTCTGCAGGTAACAGGTTCCTCTGGCAGGTAACACGTTCCTCTGCAGGTAACGCGTTCCTCTGCAGGTAACAGAATCGGTCCCCCAGAATAAAGAAAGGATCTTTCGTTCCTCTCTTCATTTTGTTTCTTTTTATTATCGTCACATTAATGTTAAAACACTGATGTTACATTGATGCACCTGCAGAGAACCCGCAGTCCTCAGTTGAGGATGTTTCTGTTCAGGATGTTTCTGTTTGTCAACCTTTGGGTGGTGGGTGTGTAGCCTCCAGCCAGTAACAACAGTGCGCAGGGTGTGAATGGGGACGTAGCAACCAGGTGTTAGGTGGTAACCAAGAGGAAGCTACGAGGGGGAGGAGCTAACTTTGGACACTTACCAACCTTCTGCCTTTAATGTTTGCTTCCTGCAGTGAGAACAGTCTCTCTGTAACTCGTGTTGTGACATCAGATTCACCTTTCACAACCTGACCAGTTCCTCATGCAGCCTTTGATTTGCTCAGAGAGGAAACTGATCAGATCCGCTCAGTTCTTCTGTAACTAAACATCAGTTATTACTGTAACAGTGGTTCTCATCCAGACAGAAAAATGTGCCCTATTTTAATTTCAGTGTTATTTAACTGACTAGAAGTTGAATGAGAGAATGTATAATATTGACAATCAGTAGTTATAATGCAGTTATAATAATGACTCTGTGATCAGACTACTGACTCTTTATTTTGTGTTTATGTAGGAAATGAAGATGTTTTTAACTCTCTGTTGTCTCTGTGTGACTCTTTTCTCTCTCAGCTGGCTTTAGCCATCGCAGATCTCGCCCTTCAGATGGCCTCGTGGAAAGGATGTGTTCACACGCTCATAGAAAAGTAAGAATACACATAACCGTCCGAGCAGTCGGCAGAAAGCGGTTACACAAAGAACGAGTCTTTCAAGCGTAGACGTGTGTTTAACCCCTCTGATTTACCTGTCCGTGTCTCCTCCCCCTCTCAGGTACAACAATGACATCAGCTCGATGCCCTTCCTCATAGAGATTCTCACTGTGCTGCCGGAGGAAGTCCACAGTCGATCTCTACGAATCGGAGCCAATCGTAGGACAGAAATCATTGAGGATCTGGCGTATTACTCCAGCACTGTGGTGACCCTGCTGGTCAGTTATCTCACGCTTTTACTCTTTATTTTATATCATTACATCATATTATATTAATGCAGTGCAGAGCTATTCACCTGTATTATGTAGGAAAATACAGGTATTAGAACGGGACATTTAAAATCTTCTTAATTCTTACAAGTCTTACTTCTTCTTGCCAGTAGGGGGCGCTATGAGTACGACTGAACATTGGCATGTAGCTGTTGTTTAGGGTGGGACTCGTATCAAACACAAGAAGTTTGGTGGAGACAAAACTACACTGAAGTTATGACAACTTGGCGCCACGCCCACGCCATTTAAAAGACACAACTTTTAATCGTGATGGTCTTTAGAGTGCGCTGACCGGATCTGAAGTCGATCCGATTAATTCCCTAGGAGGAGTTTGTTACAATGTGTCGCCTAAAATGTCCACTAAATTCAAAATGGCTGACTTCCTGTTGAGTTTTCCTACATATATCTGTAAAACATGCCATGGGGGCTGTGTTTAGGGGGCGTGGCACAACGGCCTGGCCACGCCCCCTAAACACAGCCACATGCAAGAACCATATAATACGTACATTTTTGCAACCGCTGAATTTTGTGTCGTGTGTGATTCACATAAATATCGTAGAATGACGTCAATAAAGCATTCACAGGGGTTCCTACGCGTCCTGGAAAACCTGGAATGCCTGGAAAAATAAAGACTAGTTTTGCAGTCATAGAAACACCTGGAAATTGATGAAAATGACAAAATATTCTGGAAATAATCTGTGTTGACCCGTCACTCAGATCACTAATGTGAACCTGGGAGCGTATTTAGTTGAAAACTCTTGGCGGGTTTGTCAGACGTCCAGTGGAACGGCCCTGATCATCATCGTCACGCTGTTTGTGTTTTTCTTTTTAGACGACGTGTGTGGAGAAGACGGGTATCGATGAGAAGATGTTCATCAAGGTGTTTCGCTGTTTGGGAAGTTGGTTCAACCTGGGAGTCCTCGACACTAACTTCATGGCCAGTAACCAGCTGCTCATGGTCCTCTTCCAAGTCCTGGTGAGTGTCACTGTTTTATTCTGTTTCCTGTTGACAAACCGGACAGGAACTATCCGACAGACTGACGTTCTTTCCTTCTCCACAGCAGAGGGATGAAACCTCCACCAACCTCCACGAGGCGGCGTCGGACTGCGTCTGCTCAGCTCTCTACGCCATAGAAAACGTCGACACCAACATGGCGTTGGCTCTGCAGCTGTTCCAGGGCGTCCTGACGTTGGAGACGGCGTATCACATGGCTGTGGCCCGAGAAGACCTTGACAAGTGAGGACACACAGGAACCTGGTCCAGATTGATTCAGTGTAAAATATCAGTGTCGTCAGGTTCATTCATGTTTGACTTCTGTCCTCAGAGTGCTGAACTACTGCAGGATCTTCACCGAACTCTGCGAGACATTTTTAGAGACCACAGTCAGGAGTCCAGGTCAGGGTATGGGAGACCTGAGGACACTGGAGCTGCTGCTGATCTGTGCAGGACACCCTCAGTATGAGGTACAAAAATACCCACAACACCAGTAACATTACCACTACACCTCCCCCAGTACGACGTACAAAAATACCCACAACTCCACAGTACACCCACAATACGAGGTACTAAAACACTAGTCCTGCTGTTCTGGAGATGTCCTTTAAGTTATTATAATTCTTGTCTTTGTGTTCTGATCCAGGTTGTGGAGATCTCCTTTAACTTCTGGTACCGCCTTGGAGAACATCTGTATAAAATTAACGATGCAGCTCTTCACACCATCTTCAGACCGTACATCCAGAGACTTCTGCACTGTTTGGCCCGACACTGTCAGCTCGATCCAGACCACGTAAGTCCCCCGATCCAGTCTCCACAGAACCAGAGACTTTGATCTGAAGTCTGGATTCAAACACTGTTTAAAGTGTTTGTTATAATAATTAAAGTTGTTTTTATTGGACAGGAGGGAATCCCAGAGGACACCGATGATTTCGGAGAGTTCAGGATGAGAGTCTCTGACCTCGTTAAAGACGTCATCTTTCTCGTTGGATCCATGGAGTGTTTCTCTCAGGTACCTTTTAGTTTTAATCCACAAATCAACAACAACAAAACTCAGTGGTGATGTTCTACGTTAAAATCTGTTGTGTTTGTTCTCAGTTATATTCTACGTTAAAAGAAGGGAACCCTTCCTGGGAGGTGACGGAGGCCGTTCTCTTCATCATGGCTGCGATTGCTAAAAGTGTTGATCCGTGAGTATCTGAGTCTCTTTATCATCCAGAGCAGGAAGTACAAACAGGAACGTGAGGATCACCTGTTCCTGAAGCGCTGCTGTAAACTGAGACGCTAACGTCAGCTGTCCCTGTCAGTTACTGTCAGTTACTGTCAGTCAGTCGTTACTGTCAGTTAGAATACAACCACAAGCAGCTCGTTTCACTCCACTTCTCCAACTTACTGGATCTGACATTATATGTGTTTGTGTAATTAATTCATTTCACATTCAAATCACACCAATGATTCATTCAGAGACTAACCAACCACTTTCAGATGGTTTAATTAAGATATCATCAGTCTCTATAGAATGACTATAAAAGGTTAAAGAGAGAGAAATACTCGAGGTTAATCTGCGTCCTCTGACTCTGTTTGTGTTCATCTTTCAGAGAGAACAACCCGACGCTGTCGGAGGTGTTGCAGCAGGTGGTTTTACTTCCAGAAAGCGTCCACATGGCGGTTCGTTATACGAGCATCGAGCTGGTCGGAGAGATGAGCGAGGTCGTGGACAGAAATCCAAGATTCCTCGGTACGAGCTCATCATTTCAAACTTCAACCTGCTGCTGGGTTTCATCTGTGGTTCACACTGATGTTTAATCTCAGGGTTGAACTGTATTCTGTCTGTGTGCCAGTCTGTCTGAGTTTCACTTCATCAATAGAAAACAAACCACCACTGAGAGCTTATGAGGAGACGCCTTAAAGTCCAGGTGAAACAGAAATCAGAGCTGTTTGCTTCCTTATATTTATATAAAAATGTATATAAAAGGGAGGGACTTGTTGCAGACATGTGACAGTCCAGCAGCTGTAGTGGATCCATTAGCTGACTCTGTTTTACTGGGAGCTTACTGGGACTGAATGCAGCATCTGATGCTGACGGAGACAGTTTGACTGCAGGGAATAAAGGACTGAAGTGGTTTTATTGTTGCTTTTGGCTCCTGACACCCCGGGGTTAGTCATCTAACTTTAGCTGCACAAGATAACTAGCTAACAGCATCTAACATTACCGTTATTATTATTGGTTAAAATCAGTTAATTCATGGTTACTTAATTCTAATTTGTAAATGTTTTGGCATACGTTGTTAAATAGAGGAACAATATAACTGAGGATGTGGTCTTAAAGGGTTAAAATTACATTTTTCATTTCACCTGGACTTTAAAGTCACAACAGTAAAATGTGCAGCATTAGCTGTCGGGGAGCTTGCTGTCTGAAGGCTGTGGACATTTTCCACCGTAACTTCAGGAATAAACACTGATTTTAAGGTCAGACACTCTCTCTGCTGCTCTGTTTGTTTTGCCTCCGTCACTGCAGATAGTTCGTCGGTGCTCTAAAGTCAGACAGCGTGCTAACTAAAAAATCTAATGCAAGAATGAGTGGCGCATACAGCTTCACCTGTAAACTGGTTTATTTCCTATTATAAGCTCAGATCAGTTGTTGTTTGTCAGTGGATTACCTGATTGATCTCTTCCTTCCTCTTCCTGTCAGACCCGGTGTTGAACTACCTGATGAAAGGTCTCAGAGAGAAACCTCTGGCGTCGGCAGCGGCGAAGGCGATCCACAACATCTGCTCAGTGTGCAGAGACCACATGGCTCAACACTTCCAGGGTCTGCTGGACATCGCTCGCGCCCTCGACTCCTTCGCCCTGTCCACCGAGGCCGCCGTCGGGCTGCTCAAAGGTACTGCACCTGTAGAGTTATCTTCTCAACCTGTCTGCTTACTTTACAGTGGACTAAGTTAGCATAGCCAGAAAAACAAGTATTTTAAAAGTTGTTTGCTTGCAGTCAATAAACGTGTGTCAATAACGCATTTGGTGCGAACACATCATCACTCTTCTGCCCACCACTGACCGTTCTTCAAAGACCACCTCATGGCTGATCAGGGACCAGTATCAGCTGCCGATCGACACGTAAAAGGACCGTGGTCGTAAACTATATTGATTTGTTGTTATTTCCCTGCGCAGGGACAGCTCTGGTCCTGGCTCGTCTTCCTCTGGAGAAGATCGCAGAGTGTCTCAGTGATCTCTGTGCTGTTCAGGTCCTGGCTCTAAAAAAGGTCCGTCTGTGTTTCTGTGACAGTTTTTAATATTAATGATTTATTGATTGTTTGTATTTAATAGACAATGAGCAAAAACAAATATTCAAACTAAAACCAGTTTTTGTTTTGGGGCGGTTTCAGCTTCTGGCTGAAGAATCTACAAATGGTAAATCAGCCGATCCCACCGTCTGGCTCGACAGGCTGGCTGTTATCTTCAGGTGAGTTTACCTGTTGTTTGACCTGTAGTCAAATGTATTATTCAAACTTTATTCAAATTAGGAAGCAGCAGATAGTGAACAGTGTGTTTGTGTTTCATTCAGACACACAAACCCCATCGTGGAGAACGGACAGA